GAAGTCACGGAGCCCGGGGGGCTTTTATGGAGGGGGCGCGGGCGGACGGGCGGTCAAGGGGATCCGTCGCCCCGGCCGGCACAGATCGAGAGCAGACGCTCGTAAGATGGCGGCCCTGAAGGCGGCAGGGCGGCGGCGGGAAGGGGGCTCCGCTCGAGGGGCCCCCCGGGGATCCCGGCCTTGCAGGGACCCCCGCAATATAGGGCTGCCTGGTCTCCTCGGAGCCCGCTGCGTCTAGAAGCGCCGGTCCCCGGGCGAGCCGACACAGTCCGAGGCACGGATGGCACTGGATTGTACTGGGGTTACTGGCCGCGCTCCGCCTTCGGTCGCTCTCTTTTCGCGAAGGGGGTCGCAGCAGCAGCCGCCGCCGCTACGGCAGCCGGGAGGGATGAGAATCCGCCGACCTGGTAGGTGATAGGGAGCCGCCCGGCGAGGATGGCTCTCGATTAAGTCCGCCCACCCCGCGCCCGCTACTCCCGCGCCCGCTCTCGCTCGCTCTCCGGCCAGAAGCCTTCCTCCGCTCCAGCGAAATGGCGCCTCCCGGCCTGCCCCCGACGCCCCTTATATAGACCTGATCTCCTCTCCGATTGGCCGCCAGACGCACTGACATCACCATTCCGCCCGGCCACGCCCCTTCGCCGGCTCGGTGGAGCCCACTGGGCGGAGGGAGACACAGCGCCGCCTCACGACTGGCCACCCAAGCCATCCATCACCGGCCCCCCTTCCCACCACCCATGGTGTTGCTCTATGCCGTCGGCCCAGGCGACCGACTCAATCATTGGACGGCCTCGCCATACGTTGCATCCGGATTGGCGGGCTGGTGGCTCCGGGGCGGGGCCCTCGTTGGGGAGCAGTCGTTGGCTGTTGTTGTCCTCCTGCGCGGAGGGGGAAGGGAAGGAGGGAAGCGCCATTTTGTGTGGCTGCGACAAATACCAAGGAGGCAGGGCGCCGAGAAAGCGAACAATACCCGCTGCCGGTCTGAGGGGGAGGAATACAACCGACTTTCCCCCCGCACAGACATACACAAAGAAAATTTCGCTTTTCCCAATAATAAACGCGGGGACGGGTAACGGTGTCGCGGCTCTGAGGAGAAAAGAGGCGAAGCGCCTTCCCGCCAAAACCACCTCACAAAAGACGCCTCAGCTCAGCAAGCGGCCCCCAATCCCTGTCCCACTAACTGACAAGAGGGGGTCGCGTAGAGTTCGCCACCCGCGAACCCGTCAAGACCTCGAGGCTCAAAAATTTACCCTCCCCGTCATATGAAAGCAGGTCGGCCGGCGTGGAAATTGGGAGGAGGAGCGCCTTCCTGTCGCCCTTCCCCAACTGACTGGTCGTTCGGCTCGGGTCTGAGGTTTCTCCCCGTCCCTTTATACAGTGTCCCAGGGCTTCCCGAGCAGCCCCCTTTCCCACGCACACGTGTCAGGGGTCAGGAAAAGAACAGGAGGTCCTGGAGAAGAAAGGAAAAGGGGGAGGGTGTTCGAAGAGTCTTCCTCGATCCAGGATGACTCGCGCGCCTCTTAAACCAAAGACTGATCTGTCGGGGTGGGGAGGGTCGCCCCCCATCATCCTCTCCTACTCGGGGGGGGGACCTTCCCCAACCTCCCTCCTTCAGTCAGTACTTTCCGGGCCTCCGCCATTTTGCCTCCTGCCTGTTGTGCCGGGCGCCCCCCCCCACGACACCTGCCTGCTTGTCCTTCCACAGCCTTCGCCCCCGTAACAAACATTTTTTAAAAGGGAGACGAGGAAGGCCTAGAAACAAGAGATCGGGGAAGGGGGGCGGGGGGGGAGGCAGGCAACCGAGCCGGCTGGCCGGAGGCGACTTGCTGCGGCTGTTGCTCCCGCTTTCCCGCCCCCCGCCCGAGGCGGCCTCTATGGCCCCTCCGCCTTTGCAGCAGCCATGACACAGCAAAGTCTCCCTCCCGCCATCTTGGATTGGGAGGGGTGATAACAAAGGAGGGAGGGAAGCAAACCCCTTCCTCTCCCCGACACACACAATCTCTCTCTCTCTCTCTCTCTCAGGGAAGGCAGCTCCTTCCTGAAATACAAAGGCAGCCAAAGGTGCTTCCCCGGCCCCCCCTCTTTTCACAACAAGCCGCCGAAGGTCAAAGCCCCTCTCCCTCCTTCCACACACGGCCATTTTCAAGCGTCCCAACTCAGGTCCCTCGGCTTTCTCTCTCTCGCCCTCTCCTTCTCTGGGGAAAAACGCCATTTGCACGCAGCCTCCAGCCCAAGAGGAAGTCTTTTGTTGCGCAATCCGGTCGGACCGAACCGAAAACCGCGAAGCGCGCCCACCTGCTTTGGGAAGCAGGCAGGAGATAAAAAGCTTCAAGGTCAAAAGGCAACCCCGCCGGGAAGCCCGCTATGTCTCAGCGCAACAGTTACGATACTACCCCACACAGGACATATAAAACAATAGACATAAGATTTTTTTTCCCCCTCACGTGGGCGGGGGGAAAAATGACCCCAAAGCAAAACCAAGCTCCCCACCATCTTTCTTCCTGGACAGACAACGCCCATCCCTCCCATTTCTTTTTTTAATCCGAACAATGGCGCCCAATGCAAGCCACTCCACCCGCCCCCACCCATGTTAACCTTTGCAGATATAAAGCCCCCTCCCTCAAATTAGGACAAAAGGAAATCAATTTAGCAGATTAAATTATTTTTACCCCGATTCCGAGGAAGCATTTCCAAAACGACTTTCTCCATCATTGCAGCTTTAAAAGGAGCCCGGAGGGTGCCAGAGGACGGAGGGGGGTACAACTCTTTTCCCCCCCACCAAAAAATGGGGGTCCCATTGTCAGGTGCCACGTGACAGCCTACTTCTCCCTTTTCCTATTAAGGCGGCTGGCCCTTTAAGCAGCCACCGCCCGTCTTCCCTTTTGATTGGCCGACCGAGATCACCAGAGGCGGGTGGGTGCGGCTTGACTGACAGCTGCTGAGCCTTTTTTCCTCCCCCTTCGCCCCATCCTGCGTGCCTCTACCATCTGGAATGGTCACATGACCAAAAATGACTCACCCCATTGGCTACCCGAGCCAGAAAGTAAAATAGTCCTGGCCTTCGGCATTTGGCGCCCAAAAAGCATCATCTCGACGAATTCCCGCTGATTTTGGCGTCGAAGAAAAAAAAATAAGATTGTTTTTTTAAAAAATTCCACTTAATTTTTTTTCCTCGTCGTTAAATCCGGCCAACCGCCGCCTCGGTCGCCATGATGGTTCGGCGGAAAAGCCTCAGCGAAGTCCACGTCCACGCGCTCGGATTGGCTGTCCGTCGTCACGTGATCTCCTTGCGGAGAAGACCCCGGATGCCGCTTCGCAATGGGAGGGGGTTACCCAACGTTCCCGTTCCTCGGGGAAAAAAAGAGTCAAAGTAACGAAGGACAGAAATTGCCCTTGACGACGGGGGGCGGGGGACCCAAACGACCCGCCGAAGTCTGTCTCTCTCTCTCTCCCGGGGGGGGGGCGGGGGCTTTTAAAGTCAGCACGGTTCCGCGACGCCCGAGCGCCCCAATGCGCATGCGCCCCTCTCCGACCGTTTTCCACCGTCTTTTTTTTCGTTCTGGCGCATGCGCATCTGCTCAGCGGAGGAGGGGAGATGAGCAGGAGGTGGGAGCGCATGCGCACTGGTTTCCCGCTGCAGTCTTCTTGGCTTTCGTGTTGCAGAGCGGGAGGGGAGCGTAGTCCGGCCGCCGCGGTGTCTGCCAAGAACGCGTTCCTCGTTCCTTTTTATTGCATCGTGTCCCGTTACATATCACCTCCGTTCTCCCTCCTACCCCTCCCCCGTGAGCCGCATAATATGGTTCGCCCTGCTTCCCACGTTGCGTCTGCACAACAACCCCAAAGGGTAGAACAAGCGGAAAGGAAGGTCTTCCACTGAGTTTCTTGGCTCGTGCAAAGGGGGGGGGAGAAAGAGGGGGGAGAGGGACGCCCACCCACGTGCCCCAAATCTGACCGAAAGGTTGAGAAGCATCAGGAGTAGGATTTCTTAAAAGTGCTTTATAAAAGCCTCTCGTTGGGGCTGTACGCAGGAATTGACACAAGCCCTTTTGATGCTAACGGGTGACCTCTTTTGGCCTCCTTTCTGGGTGGGGTGGGGGGAAACTCAAATACCCCCCCATCCCAGTCCAGCACTGAGCCTTAAACTCCTCAGCCCATCTTCCCGTTGAACGGGGCCAATAACCTTCTGACAAAGCACCAGCGGGCAGCCTGTCGGGATCCAGGCACTGTTTTCCTACCGTGCCCATCATCCTTAGATGGAGTCAGTGGTGAAGGAGGATGGGAGTTCCAGTCCCGGTTGGCTCCCTCCCCACCCCAGAGGTGGTTCACCTGCTGAGCAACCACCGATGGGCCTCTCAGAGTCCCTTTTCCATCTCCGCTGTGTGCGCCTCCCTTCACCTCACGCACTTCCTCCCATTTCTCACCTGTTGAATGCCTGCCTGTCAGGGGACTGGCAACATGTGTAGACTGCTAGGAAACAGGTGACAGCCAAGTTTCGGCAGCAAGAGGGAGGGGATGCAGTCAGATAAACAGAAAAATAGGCACACAAAGGGAGGAGTCTGATTTTCCAGCAGGAAATAAACCATTGATTTATTGGACTAAGTGCAGAGGAAGGGTCCTTTAGGGAAGTCATTTTAAGGAGAAAGGCAAGGTAAAAGTATTTTAAATAAACACATGAAAGAAAAAAAGCCTTTCTTTGGCCATGGCCCTTTCAGGAGCTCTTCTCAGGCTCCAGAGCCGCAAAATGAACAAATACCGGATACCTTTCAGAAATCTCTTGTATTTTTTCCGTCTGTGGACCCTTTCAAATG